GACACATAGCTTCCACTTTTGTATCTTCATATTAATTTGACTTCATTAATGAAACAAAGACTTTTACCTAGCGCATTCTTCTTCTTATTATGATTTTTTTATCCGATCTAGGACAAATAATCATAATACTTATAAGATTTTTGGCAAACCCTCAGCCCTCAACGGATTTGATGTGCCTTTACCGATTATCGTTTGAATCGGGCTAGTATGTGAATTGTTGAAACCCGTTCACATGTAACGTTATGCTAAAAGAATAAATTCTTTTAGACTTAGTGTTATGATTTTGAATACATAGACTTAATCCTCTCTTTGTGGGGTGCTCATAGGATTTTGGCAAACCCTCAGCCATCAACGTATTTGGCGTACATTTACCAATTACCTTTTGAATCGGGTTAGCATGTGAATTATTGAAATTTGTTTCACATGTAATATTGTGCTAAGAGAATACACTCTCTTAGATTGGTAGCTATGATTTTGAATACATAGACTTCATCGTTTTCACGAGAACGGACCACCCGACAACGCGTGTTAGGCGTAGGCTTATCTCTGATTAGGGATTCAGATAATGTCCCTTAGATGTGGATTTTGGTATCTTTTTCACTGTGAAAGACTAACCAGCAATGTGTATTAGGCGCAGACTTATCTCTGATTAGGGGTCGAGATAAAATCCCCTATACGTATGAAGTATGAATTATGGCGTTATTAATAACGGCATGCCACGATGTCGAATGCGTGGGCTTTTGCCATTTTATGGGAATGCGCTATCCGATAGCATGTGTTAGATGCAGACTTATCTTTGTTTAGGGGTCAAGATAAAATACCCTAGGCATGAATCCTAGTGTCTTTTCACGGTACAAGATTAACCGGCAATGCGTGTTAGGCGTAGGTTTATCCCTATTTAGGGTTCAAGATAAAGTCCCCCATATATGAAAAACATGGATTTTGGTTGCTACGATGTTGAATATGTAGACTCAGTCATTTTTATGGGAACAGACCACCCGACGGTGCGTGTTAGGCGCGGGCTTATCTCGGTTTAAGGATTAGGATAAATTCCTCCAGGCACGAATCCTGATGTCTTTTTCACAGAAAAGACTAAATGGCAACACTTTTTAGGCATAGACTTATCTCTACTCAGGCTACGAGATAAAATCCCCCATGCCTAAAAGACATGAATTTTGGGTTGAGATAAAATCCCTCATACGTGTGAAGTATGGATTTTGGCATTATTAATAACGGCCTGCCACGATGTCGAATGCGTGGGCTTTTGACATTTTATGAGAATGTGCTACCCAGCAGCATGTGTTAGATCCATACTTATCTTTGTTTAGGGGTCAAGATAAAATCCCCCAGGCATGAATCCTGGTATCTTTTTCACGGTAAAAGATTAACCGGCAACGCATGTTAGGTCTCAGTTTAAGGATTGGGATAAATTCCTCCAGGCACGAATCCTGGTATCTTTTTCACAGAAAAGACTAAATGACAACACTTGTTAGGCGTAGACTTATCTCTACTCAGGATTCGAGATAAAATCCCCCATGCCTAAAAGACATGAATTTTGATTGTGTGGAAAGATTGTGTCTTCTGTTGTGTAAAGACGAACCTGCTGCGAGAGAGGAAGAATTTTATATTCTATCTCCCAAAACTGGAGAAGAAGAATTTTATATTCTATCTCCATGATGTAGGAGAAACTAAAAGTAGGATCTCCACTTCGAGAATCTTGGAATATGAAACTAAGAGTGAGATCTCATCTCCGAGAATCAAAAAGATCTGGATAACCTTAACTTTTATAGGATTGGTTACCGATCAGAAGACAAATTTCTCGTTTATCGAGATGAAATTCTAACTTTGGTGTAAATCGTTAGGAGGTTTAACCAAGTGGGGGGTTAAGACGACCCTAATTTTTATATCTTTGATCGTTCAACTTGGGTGGAGGCCTTTTATTCATCGAAAGGGAATTTCGGTTTTGAAAGTGGACCTCTCGTTCATTGAAGGAATCGAGAGGGGACTTGGCTTTGGTCCTAACTATAGGAATGTTTGACCAAGAAATAGTGGGAGTGAAGATACAAATAATAACGGGAATGTTATTGACTTGTCCAAATCACTCAGTGGGGGCTTTCGATGTCAAGTGACAAGGACTTAACACGAAAAGGGGGATGCCATGTCAGACGTCAACAAGTGGGAGTGTTAAAGGTTTGGACACAGTGGGAGATTAGGTGGATTTAACCACGAAAAATTTGGTGGGCCTACCGTCATTTGATTTGATCGATGAGGGATTTTATGGTGGAGGATTATGAGTCATCATGCACTCTACAACTTAACTTTGGGGTTTCGTGAGGAAAGATTAATCGAATGGGGTCATCAAATCTCATCTTGACGAAAGAAGGCTCCAAAATACAGCGGGAGGTTCTTAATCATCATTTTATTATGATTAAGAATGACTTATCCAGACAATTAGTTTCGATCTTGGATAGTCAGCCGTTCTTGGGTTATCCTTAGGAACACCGTGAATAGCGTTCTCCAGGAACTTCCCGTTAAATAGGTTATCCCGAACATACTAAGGATAGTATTTTTTAGAAATTTCCCATAGATTAGCATCATAAGCTTGTCATCATTTTGAGTGACGAGGCGATATGCACCGTTGGAGTAAATCATCTCTACCACAAATGATCCTTCCCATTTGGGTTGGAACTTCCACTTCTTCTTGGAATTGAGGATCATCGGTCGTCGAACGACAAGGACCATGTCTCCTTCTTTAAAGCTCCATTGTTAGACTTTCTTATCAGAAGCCCTGGAGATTCTATCTTGGTAGAACTGAATCTGTTGCTAAGCTTCTAAACGTTTTTCATCTAACGTCTTGAGTTCTTCAAGACATTTATGATGTTGTTAATCAATCGTCATTCCCGTTGTAAGAGCAATACGCAGGGATAACGGGAGGACAGCTTCACACCCGCACACCAGAGATGGTTGCAAGTAGGCATGCGGACTGTGGTGCGATAGGCCCAGAGGGCTTCGTCAAGTTTGTCATCACAGTCTCACTTATTAATTCTCACAAGCTTTGACAAAATCTTTATGATTGTTTTGTTGAAAGCCTCAGCCAATCCCTTTGTAGTGGGATTGTGTACCGTTGATGAAACATCTTCAATCCTGAACTTCCCGCAGAATCTGATGAAGGCATTACTGACAAACTAAGGGCCGTTGTCATACACGATTCACCTCGGCACACCATATCGATAAATAATATGGTGTTTGATGAATGCGATGATATTACTCATCTTTACTTCTCTGAGCAGAATAGCTTAGTCCATTTGGAGAAATAATCAGTAATCGCCAAGATGAAATGGTCACCTTTATCCGATGGTGGGAAGATAGGACCAACGATGTCCATTCCTCATGTCTCAAATGGCCATGAAGTGGCCGAATGGTGTAAATGCTCCGAGGGTTGGTGCATGTAGTTTGTATGCACTTGGCACGCATGACACCACCATGCATAATCAACTGTGTCCTTGACCATTGTTGGCTAATAATATCTAATTCTTCTGAGACGATCGGGCTTGGGACCAAGCTGATGTGCACCACAGGTTCCGTCTTGTGATTCTTTGAGAGCCTCTCCCGCCTCTTTGGTCGAGAGGCATAGGAGTAGCAAACCGTCATATGCACGATGGTACAGCGTTTGAGTCGCTATTATAATAAAATCTCTGTGCTCTTCGCCGGACTGAGTCTCTCTCTTTTATGTCTTCAGGTAAAACACCGTGTAAGACATAATCAATAATAAGGAAATGCCAGTGTCAGGGTTTGAGTTCGATTCCGGTCGCGTGCGCTTCTTTTGTATCTAAGGCGCACTCTGGTATGAAGAGTTGGTGAGTCCTCAGGGTAACCAATTGTTTAGTGTTGGGAGGCTGTTCCAGAGATACTGCTAATGTCGCTAGTGCGTCTGCATATGCTTTTTGGAGACTCAAAACGTACTCGATGTAGAATCCTTCAAACGAGACTACCATCTCAAAGACCGCCTTATGGTACAGAATCAAGCTTTGGTTTCTTCCTTCGCACTCTCCACGCATTTGGTTGACTACTAGCTGGGAATCACCAAAAGCTTCAAGGTATTCGACCCCCAGCTCTTTGGTGAAACTTAGTCTAATGAGCAGTGCGTGTATTCGGTTATGTTGTTGGAACACATCCCTATCAATTAATAGGCTCGGGGTATCACCTGCTTCTCCGGGGAAACTAGGACAACTCTGACTCTCGTAGAAATTTTAGAATTACCAGGAGAACTTGTCGTATTGGTCGCCCAGGAAGCCCCGTCACAGTACAATTGCCACACCTGTTGATGCAAGGTAGTGTTGACTTCATGGGTTTCATCGGGTAAATCTTCAAATAATTCGGCTGTATCCGCTATAGGGTTAGTCGTCAGAAGATCACAAATTGCATACCCTTTACTAACTTATGTTGCTTGAAATGCAAGTCGTATTGGGATATGAGGAGGGCCTATTTTGCTAATCGCTAATTCATGGAGGTCGGTTGCGTCATGAATACTTGAACTGGATTAACGTTCGAGATGACGTAAATCGTCTGCCCGACGAGGTAGTGTCGCATCTTCTAGATGGCGAACATCAAAGCGAGACATTCCTTTTCGATCATTAGGCACTGAGATTTGGCACCTACCTAAGTTCGACTTAGGTAATATATTGCATACTCGTGACCGTTGTCATCGTCTTGTGCAAGCAAAATACTTAAAGAGTGGTTCATCGCCTTGATGTAAATCAAGAATAGTTTACCCAACTTCGGTGCTACGAGAACAAGAGGATTTGAGAGATATGCCCTTATATCTTCAAATACCTTCTGACAGGCATCGTCCCAGATAGTTTTGAGAACGGTTGACACTTCCTGGACAGGTTCGAGATGAATCACCGGATGTAAGACAATCTTCCTTGTAGTCCCCTAAGTTCCTTGAGGCTTCTCGATGGTTGCAATTCATTTATCGCCTTCACTTTGTCGGGGTCAATATGGATGCCTTTCATGGTGATGACGAATCTGAAGAATTTACCACTGGACATTTTGAGAAAAGACTTGGTAGTGTTCATCTTCAGTTGATGACTTTGCATGAGGTCGAACATTGTCCTCAAGTCTTTAATATGGTCATCTTTGTTGCAGCTTTTAATGACCAAATCATCAATGTAACATTCGACGGTCTTTCGGAGATGTTCCTAGAAAATCTTCGTCATCGCTCGTTGGTACGTAGCTCCTACGTTCTTCAAGCCAAAGGGCATGACTGTGTAGCAGAGGACACCAAGAGGTGTTCTGAAGGCGGTATGTTTCTGTCATCTGGATACATCTTGATTTGATTGTATCCTGAGAATCCATCCATAAATGACATTCTCTCGAACTCACACATGTTGTCGATGATGACATCCGTGATAGGGAGAGAAAAGTCATCTTTCGAACACGTGGTATTCAGGTCTCTGAAATCAATACATATTATGATTTTCTCATTCTTCTTTAGGACCGGAACAATGTTCACAAGCCAATCAGGATGTTGCTCTTCCCGGACGAAGCCTTAATCGATCAACTTTTTGACTTCGACCTCAATTGCCTCCATAATCTATGGGCATAACCATCTTTGTTGTTGCTTGATGGTTTAGCATCCGTTTTGATGTTGAGATGATGCATCACCACATTCGAATCAAGCCCTGGCATGTCTTCGTGGTTCTAGGCAAAAACATCGATGTACTCTCTGATGAAAGCAATCAACTCTTCTTTCTCGTCTGGTGGAAGACTATCACTTACGTATATTTGTTTCGATTTGGCTTCATCGCCTATGTTTACCTTGTTCGCCTTCTTATTTTTATGATGTTTAACAAACAATTTACTTCTAATGTTGTTTGTCTAATGTTTGTGTTTTCGTATTTATTCTAGGCAAACAACGTGTTGGAGGATGGATGGAATCGAGCCTTAACGATCATATCAAATGGAGGTTTGCGGAATTGTGGAGTGAACCAACGTCAATTCAAGTTAAAGATCCAATTACAAGCTTCTTCCGCAAAGTTTACCAAGTCATGATCATTGAAGACCTTCATCAAGCTTGGGTATATTTAGTATAGGTTTATATTATGTGTGTTTAATACTCTAAGCTCAATATCATATACACACACAATATTGGATTTTCTCACAAAATGAGCTATTTTGAGAAAACTTTGTGATATTATTTTATTGACCATGTTTACTTTATATTCATGTGTTATAATGTTTATGAAGACATTTCATAAAGTTTTAATATGCGTTTAAACTCTCTTTGTCAAAAACATGTTCTTAACAAATTCATATTCATGCATGTTTTTACAAAATAATGAGTTTTCACAATTGAGAAATGAAAATTGAAAATTTATTTTTGTAACATGTTTGTTTTCATGTTTATAAACATTTTGCAAAGTTTCATCAAGTTTGGAATTGATTTGTTATGTTTAATGGAATTTACAAAATCATGTTTTTGTTCGTGCACATGTTCGTGCATGTTTTACAAAACAGATGAGTTTTTATAAATGGGAAGTGATATTCAAGAAATTCTTTCTTTGCCATGTTTATCTACATGTTTATAAACTTCCCTCAAAAGTTTACTATTTTTGGAGTTGATTTACTGTGCCTAACTGATTTTACAAAATCGTGTATCATAGCAGATTTTTAGAAACTGTATTTCTGTGTTCAAACATTTATTTCTATCAACTGGGAAATGCCTTTTCATAAATTCTTTCTCTAACATGTTCTTATACATGTCTAGAACATTCCCTCAAAATTTCACAATTTTTGGAGTTGATTTACTATATTTATTTGATTTTACAGAGCTGCATATATAGTGCTACAGTACTATCGGTCGACCGCGCTATAGTGCGGTCGACCGACGAACTCTCTGGATATCTCCTGAGTTTCTGACCTTGTTCGCGGTCGACCCCGGTTTTCCTCGGTCGACCGCTGTAGTTCCAACGGCTCTTTTTAGAGCCGTTGCAGAATGGTTTTTTGGTCTTTTTTTTCTTAGCTTTCTCTTGGCTTTGGGGTTTCTATAAATACCCCCCTTACTTCAGTTCTAACTAAGAAGCAAGAGAATGTTTTAAAGAGTTTTAAAAAGAGTTTAAGCTTCTTTTAAGCTTGTTTAAGGGTTTGGTTTAAAGCTGTTTTGGTTTTTACAAGTGGAGGAGATTATCTTCTTGTTTGGGCTTCAATCTTCATCTCTCCATCTTGTCATCTATTGAGAAGTTTTCTAAACTCTACTCTAGCTTTTATTTATCAATTATTAGTTAATTATATCAATTATTAGTTAATTATCATTTCCATTAAAGCTAGTTTTATATTGAGTTTAGATTTGATTTTACTCCTTGTTGCACACACCCACTTGAGCTTATTGTATTTGCATACATAGTATATTAGGGTTGTGAGAGATTGTAACATTGAGTTGTGCTTCATTGTGTTCTCATCTATTGTAGAGAACAAATTTATATTTGTTACATTGTGAGTGTTGTAAGGTTTTCGGTGAGCTAGAAACCGAGTGTGTTGTGAAGTTTTCCGGTGAACTAGAAAACCGAGTGTGAGGAGTGAACGTTGTTCGGTGAGCGTTGAAAACCGACATTGTGAGGTGTAAACGTTATTCGGGTGAGCGTAGAAAACCCGGTTGTGATAGTGGATTTCTCCCCGGGAGTGGGGAGCGGAGACGTAGGACGGAAGGTCCGAACTCCGTGATCATATTGTGTGTTTGAATGTGCTTTGGCGTTTATTCTTATTTATGCTCATTGCTCATTTCGCCATTGTCTCATTATTTATATGATCCACTATCTAGTTCATATTGTTTACCCCTTGTGTTAGTTTATATATATATCCTTGCATATATATATATAGGATATATCTCATTATTTACATTGCTTATCCTAGCTCATATATCTTGTGGTATTTCATACTTGCTAGGATAACTTGTTAATTAATTTTAATTAGCATTTAATCGGATTAGATTAGCATAAGACCCTAATCATCCCCACCCCCCTCTAGGGTCTAACAATTGGTATCAGAGCTTGGTGCTCTTTGATTTAAGGTCTAATCACCTTGAGTTAAAGATCTAAGTTATCTCTTTGTGCTAATCTTGTTTTGATTATATTTGTATCTTGCTTGCATGATGCATCTTGTTTAGGCTATGATTCTAGTATTGCTCCTAAATTCAATGCTTTCCCTTATGCTTAATGGTATTTTAGATTCAAAATATTTGTTCAATCTAAAAATATCGATTTATGAGAAATCATTGATTGTGTTTATATTGTGCCCACGTTGGAGAAATCCAAGTGGAGCAAACATGATAAAAAGATGTTTATTATGAACAAGCTTATGTTAGAATTTTTATTAAATGCATTTGATTCATTTATGTCTAACAAGCTTGATTTTTTTGATAGTGCTTACACCTTATGGAAATTTATTAAAGCACATCAAGGAGACTTGGAGGCGATCTGACAAGCTTTGGAGGATCCCGCTTCAAGTTCATATGGAGCTTCATGCACACGTGCACTAGGCGATAGCCCTAGTGAGGTTTGCGAGTTCGAAACCATTAATGATTTACCTAATGATGAACTTGCTTGTGCTAGTGATAAATTATTGCATGCCTACAAGAAATTGCAAAATGATTTCATTGATTTATAAAGCAAGCATGTAAATTTGAAATCCGATCATGAGTCTTTATCTTCTAAGTTTGATACTATTTCTAATGAAAATATGATCCTTAAAGAAAACAATGAAAAATTAAAATTGGATCATGATTCTTTGCTTTCAAACTTTGCTAAGTTAACTCATGAAAGAGATAATGTCATGCTAGAAGTAGTAGCTATTAGAAATGATTTTGATAACCATACATGCTCTACTTCTATTATCAATGATGTTGTGCATAATGATGATTTGAATCTTGTTAAGGAACGCATATCATGCTTAGATTCAACTTTAAAAACATGCATTGATAACCATAAGAAACTTATGGATAAGTGTGTTAAATCTAGTGCTACAAAATCACCTACACACTATGCACACTTGTATAACAAAGTTTACAAGTGCTCCATTTGTGGTCGTAAAGGCCATTTAGCTAAATTTTGCTATGATGCACAAAAACATAAGAATATTAATCCTTCTTGTGCATGTCATCAAGTTTCTTCATCACATGTACACACACATGCACCTATTTCTCATCATAAGCATGCTCTTGTGTATCATTGTGATTTTTGTGGTAGAGTTGGTCACTTAGCTAAGTTTTGTTTTGATTTGCGAAAAGTTTCTAAATCTCAAAATATTTCAAGTAGACCAACATTGTTTCAAAATGTTTCTTATTTGCAAAATAATCTTAAAAGACCATCTTTATTTGCAAATGTTCCTCGTGCACATCCACATGGTCAACATAATCAAATGCATCCTCTTCATTGTACTTATTGCAATCGAATGAGTCATTTGCATAATTATTGCTATGACCGGACCTATGCACTAAATGCGCCCAAATGGGTTCATAACCCAAGGGCTTTGAGCTTTAATGATAGGGGTCATGTCCCTAAACAAACCGGCACCAAGAATACTTGGGTACCAAAATAATTTTTTAAGCCAAGAATTTTAGTACTTTTATTTTTTTTTTCTTGGTTTTGAAAAATATATTTTAAACTTTTATGAAAACAATTCCTTTTATTGGTCAAACTCTTTTGTTTTCATGATTATTAGTTTTATTTTGATGAGAGGTTTGTACGTATATAACCCTCCGGATTTATTGGGTGTTTATTCCCAAATCTTATTTACCGGGTGCTAAAATGTTTATATGGGTTGTTACTAGCTCAATAGCTAGATATGGTTGCCTCTCATGATTTTTTGAATCAATGATGATTTGGTCTTACGTTTTTGGATTTAAACTTTGATTTATGATTTCTTTTCGTTGATTTGTTTTTATTTGAAAACTTTTTGCATGATTCTCATGTTTCTCTTCTTTTTGATTTCATAAATTTATTTTAGATAATCTATACAGTGGTTAAAAGAATTTTGACTCTAATGTACTATTTTTTATAAATTATATTTAATATGAATTCACCATATAATTTTGACTGTAGTCTGTTGGCCTTCTTATTTTGATGATGTTTAACAAATAATTTACGACTAATGTTGTTTATCTAGTGTTTGTGTTTTCGTATTTATTCTAGGCAAACAACGAGTTGAATGATGGATGGAATCGAGCCTTAACGATCATATCAAATGGAGGTTGGCGGAATTGTGGAGTGAAGCAAATTCAATTCAAGTTAAAGATCCAATTACAAGCT